AATGTATTTCACAGGTAAAAAAAGGATAGGAAAGAATTTGATGAGCTGAGATAGGATGGAAGAAAGAATTGAAATCAATCAAAAGTTCGACTTCATTTTCAACAAATTAAATTTTTCCACTCAATTTAAATTTAAATTTAGGATTATCAATATTTCTCAATTAAACCACACTTGATTTGTTATCTTTAAAAATAAAAGTTTTGGGAAAATGATAAATATGATAGATTAAAAAAGAAAAACAATAATAAAGATAACATTTAATATACACTCCTTAACATCTAATAATACATATTACAGAATTATGTATATCTCTGAATGAAATAAATTAAAATTTATAATTTATCAAGAATTTGAATGATAACAAATATACCGATAACAGTTGGTTCTAAATCGATCATAACTGCACGTGGAACATGTCTACCTGATCCAGTTTCCGAAAAGAATGTTGTAAACGAATCATCACCACTACCAATTGTTTTATCCGACGGCATTTGTCCATCAGGCTAATTAATACAAATTATTTCATTCGTTCTGATAGTTTTAAAATAATTTTGTATTTAAATTATTCTACAAAACAAGGAGAGAGAGAGAGAGAGAGAGCGACGAGATGAAATGATTCAAATAGATATTTTTGTTTCATTCAAAGTTCAATTTAAATTCTCATTATTTATAAAATTATTAGAAGAAGGGATTCTTTGCCAACCTGAATACCATGTTCCAAGCAGTACAACTCCCAACAGGCATTACCAATTTGAACGCCAGCTTGGCCAATATGTATTGAAATTACTTCACGCTGCAAAAAATAGAATTAATTTTTAGAGAGAGAAAAATTATACATAAAACTCTTTAATAATTAATTTTAATTAATTTTATTTGTTTTTTTATTTCATTCCCAATTGTAGTAATATTATTTTATTTCTAAAGAATTGGTAAATATAAATAGAAATAATATTGTGAAGTTACTATAGTAACAAAATTGAAGTGGTTCGTTGAAATAATCAATAAATTTTATAATTTACATTTAATATATTTTTTAAAAGATATTTTAATCCTTTCTTTCTTTCTCTCTCTTTTATTATAATATCTCTAATAAATTTAATTTCATGATTTTCTTTTTGTTTTTTGTTTTAACAAAAAATTATCGGTATGATTGATAATCAATTAGTTATTTTGTCAAATTAATCAACAGATGAATCAAAAATGGAGTAAATCGAATAAGTCATTGAAACTTAACATTTAATCAGTTTTGTATATATATATATATATGTGTACATGTATATAAATATTGATTAAGGTAATGATTGAGAGACAGAGAGAGAAAAAGAGGGAGAGAAAGCGAGAAGGGATATCAATCTAGGCTCGGATAAATTAGACAGACTAGGCTAAGCTTGAAGGAGAAAGCAAACCAACCATTTGTGTCGTCGAGTGCTATTACAACTGCAACAATGGATTTGCTATCAGAGGAAGGGCCACAATGATGCGATATGCCATCAAATATTTAGTCAACTCCCATTTCTGCGCTCTATCCTCTCCCTCAATAACAAAGCACCTCCACCCACTTCATGCATACATATATCAGATCGTAATGACAGGTATACATATATGAACACTCACATACACGTACGCACACGCATGCATAATTTACACCTTTTATCGATAGACAGATGCGCGTACATTATCTAATAAATAATGCATATACATTATTATATTTTATTTATATTTTCACACACATAATAAGTAACATAATATTTGTTTACTTATTTATTTATTTATTAATATTTCCACACCATATATATATATGTTTGTTTATTTGTTTACTTATTTGAATTTTTAAATATTTTGAAATTATTAAAAAGAAAAATAAAATTAACAGGTAAGAGATGTAGAAGGATTTTTCCTATTCTTTCTATCACATTTCATTTTTACTGAGTTATTTTAATGATGAAAGATAAGATTACTAAAAAATATCTACAAGTTATTTATTCATATATATATATATATACACAACAATGTCATTTATTGCTATATGATACACTCGTATAGCAAATAATCAATAAATGACCTTATTCATATTAATGATGGTAACAAAAATAAATAATCAATAAATGACCTTGTTTATATTAATGATGGCAACAAAAATAAAATTTGAAAATATCAATATCTTCAAGTTTGTATCTTTTAATTCTTTACTGTCAATAGTTAGCTGTTTACTGTCAACTATTGACAGTGAAGGACTAAAAGATACAAACTTGAAGATATTTATACTAATAACTTTCCTTTAATCTTAATAACTTCTTATTTTCATTACTTATCAAATAACGTTCAGAAGTTTTACCTTCTCATTAATTCCCACGAGAAATTTCAAAAATTACATTAACTTAATGATGCTGAAATTTTCGAATTAATAATGATTCATATGATGTATTTTTCAATGTATTGATAGTTGCTATATATTACAGATATATTTAGTGAATGAAATTAAACAGCGAAGTGTAAGTTTATGTGAAAGATTATCATTCGAGTTATTATTGTATGAGATAAATTTTTATTAAAAAAAATTTTCAATTAAACAACAAGAAAATAAAATATGACAAAAAAACAATAACAGTAACAATAACAACAATATCATCAACAAGAAATATACAGTAACAATAATAGCGTTGATTAATTAACAACAAACAGTAACAATAACAATGTGACTAAACAACAACAATAACAGCGTGATCAAAAACAACAACGACAACAATAACAATAACGATAGCAACGTGATTAAGCAATAACAACAACAATAATAATAACAGCGTGGCTAAACATCAACAGTATGTAAACAACAACAATTTTGTATGGAATAGTAAAACGCATCCGTCAAAATGAATGTTATTTGGAAAAAAAAACAATATAAGCTTAAATTATTAATGAAATAATTAATACTTCTCTTTTCTAATTAACTTATGATATTGTTTAATACAATATGTTAGCTATTATTATTTTCATTTACAATTCAAATTTGAATTAGTTAAATAATCAAATTTATTTTAGTTATAAAACTTCATATATCAATTTCCTTTTCATAGTTACACATTTAACTATGATGATAATGTGACAGTTCCATTCTAAAATTAGGTCATCGCTTTCATGCTCATCGACATTTGACCCTGTCCTTTCATGAAATATCTATCGATATCACAGATAATTCATATAAATGAATTCGAAAATATGGAAATTACTTTCTGAATGTCACACTAATTAATACTTATAACATTCGAAAATTTTCAAATAATTATAATTATCTTTCTAAAATTATCACTTTCTAACACTGATTAATTGCTGATATTTTAGCAGAATAAAACAATCATTAGTAATTATAATCGCTTTTGAATTGAAATACTAAAACAATTAACAATAAGTAATTAAATTTTGCAACAGGATTTTTGCAATAAAATTAAAAATTTTAGGAAAATGATTATTTTTAAATATTCATTATCTTTCAAAAATATGAATTAAATTATAATTCGTTAATTCATTCTGCATAATTATTTAATTTATTACAAATATAAATTATATAATTGCTTGCATAGCAATCAATATAAAATGACTGATCTGATCTCTATCATTCTTTTCAATTCTCTCTATTCTATAGTTGAATATCGGTAGAATTAAAACAATTGAATAGATAGAATTGAAAGAATAATAAAGAATTATAGTCTGATCATCTGACTTAATCTATATCGATCTCTCAGTCCTATCCATTTTACAATTCAGACTGATTTCTCAATTTGATCTATATCAATCTTTGCTTCCCTAGAATGAAGAAATCAAAAAAAAAGTAGACAATTGAGTCTGATTTTCTGATTTAATCTATATCGATCTCTCAGTCCTATCCATTCTACAATTCAGACTGATCTAAATCAATTTTTAAATCCCTTGAATAAACAAACAACAAAAAAAGTAATCCAATGTTTTAATTTTGTCGTAGAAAAAATGATTTCATTCATTTCATTTGCGATCGTTGCTTATGCGAAAGTATTTTAATTTTCCTTCAACAAATGGTTGCATTCGTTGGAAACGAATAATTGCAGGAAATTTACATTTATTCTTTTCAATTCATTCTATCGATTTTTAAACAGAATATATTCATTTATTTCTTCCTACTTTTTCCTCCTACAATTTTTAAATTTTACCATTTCGTTGTTAATCAATTCTAAATTTAATTTGAAATTTGTTAATCAATTCTAAATTTAATTTGAAATCAATAATTGTAATACGGTGGTGATAGTGATATATATCACTTCATTTAAATCATTCATTCAATTTATAATATTCACTATTCTTAACTAATCCATTTTCATTCCTATTATACTTTTATTCTGTCATATTCTGGCTGATCATTTACAATTAATTATAAAATGTAAACGTCTATTAAATGCATGATATCACCTACTGATATTATCTATATTACCTATCAGTAAAAAATTTATCCAATCCGATCATAATTTTTTTTGGTATGCTTTTCTTATTTTAGCTGATATAAATTATTCATCTACTTTTTTCTAATTTATTAATTACTAAATTTCCGATCATTACTTTCATTTAGACATGCTCAGGAAATTTTCTTCATCCAATAATTATCATTATGAGCTATTTGAAAAATGGAAAGGAAAGAAGAAATTTCGGCAAATTTTAGATTAATCATCTATTAATTACTTATTTCTATGCATTTATATGAGAACAAATACATTTCAAAGCACAGATTGATTTAAAAACCATATCACAAGCATAATGCAGAATCATGCTTATTTCTTCTTACTTCAAAAAGTTTGCTTCTTAAGTACAAAAATTACAATGATATCGAATCAATAATTTATTTTAGAGGACTCAAAGATTGTAAATTCATTCACTTGTTCCAAAAGAATGCTTTATAAATCAAAGTACACTGATGAATCAAACACTTCAGAATTAAAGATATTTGTGCCCATGGCAGCTGTTTAAGCTTAAAACGTTTAACATCCTTGTTTCACTTTTTGCCTACTAATCTTTTTATCCTTATTTCGAGTTTTTGGTGGTGCTACACCGGTTCCCGATTCTTGGCGTCCATATTGATATTTATACGAATCCGACCGAAGGTATTCCATTAAAGCAAGTGGACCTGTAAAAATTACTTCATACACATCAATACCGACAATGGTCTCACTGGACAAAATTTCTACAATTAAATTTTCATTGTCCTAGTTATTTTCAATTCTTCCCTCCTGCAATATTACTTTCTTATTTTGCCACTATCCTTTATTTTATTTGTAACAAAATATTATTTTAATTTACTTCAGTAATACCATAAAATTTTCAACTTAATGTTGTAGATATTATTCTTATTTGACAGTACGCTGAAGCTGGCTTTATTAAATATACACACACCTTTGGTTAATGGCTCTGCCAGTGATTGTACCCAGGGATTATTCTCAAGTCGCAGAACTCGCTTCGGACCAACAAGATCCAATCCAGCGATTTCCGGTGGCAAAACGGTCAAACGATTTCCCTTGAAAAAAATACATATAGTCATCACTTGTTTTACAAAACATTTACTTAAATAGTTTGTATGCAAGTGAAAAAAACTTGGAAATTTCCATCGAGAAATTTCCATCGACCGTTATCTTCACATATTGATGCTTGAAATGTATTTATATAAAAGCGTCGATTCAATGTTATAAATGTAAGTACCTGAATATGAAGTTCTTTCAAGCGATAAAGTTTACCAATTTCTTTCGGCAAAGCGAGTAAATCGTTTTCACGTAACACCAAAACTTGCAAACTCGAAAGATTTTCAATATCAGCGGGTAAATATTCAAAATCATTGTCACCCAAATATAGGGCACGTAGTGTTGCTAGAAATAAAAGCTATTACAAAAAAAATTAATAAAAAAAAAAACAAAAAGACGAATTTCTTCCCTTCAATCTTCAATCACCATTTGAAGCTTAAGGTTCAGTATTCGGCGCCACAATATGCCACAACAATATTACAGTAAATCAATGACTTGACAAATTTTAATTAACTTGACTGTAAGGTGTGGCTATGAAATATGAAAATGATCAAAAAAGGGAGGCGTGCTTGAAATTGCCGTGCTGATTCTACAGCTATATTTCAAGCGATGAATGAATGAATTAATATCGGAGTGAGACTGATGAACTTATTAATAAATTCCATAACTAAAAAATCTTATTCGAATGAAAAATCTGAGCTCTAACGGTTAAAATGAAGAAGTGAATTTCTAAAAATTTCATTTACTTTTATTGTATGGTGATCATGAGGCATTTCAAATTATAAAAAAATTGAGTGCAAAAAGAACTAACGCATAAAAAAGAAATTTCCCGGCAAACTGCGTTCATTCAAATTATTATAAGTTAGATCCAATATTTCCAACGCTTGAAATGACCCGAAACCTCTTGGCAATATATTCAGCCGGTTCATCCTGAGAATTTATTTTTAATAAATTTTTCACTCACCTAATTAGAAAACAAACTGCATTAAATGGTCAAACGATAATATTAATAGAGTTCTTTTTTCGGAGACTGATAATTCACCATTAACGACATGTTACTGTTATCAATAAAAAAACAATGAATAAAAATAAAACAAAACCCCAAGTTAAGAATTCGCAATTTATTCAACGACGATATTGATGTCGGCAAATCTTCGATTTGATTGTTCCATAAATTCAAACTCTGAAAAAATGTCCCAATGATAGGATAATATATGCTCACTTATTTCTTGATACTAATCGAAATCCTTAAAAATTCAGTAATATACCTCTAAATTGACCAAATCCGCGATATTTGGTGGTACGGATGAAATTCTGTTGTGACTCAAAATCAATCTTCTCAATGCCATATTGTTGACTAAAAAAAAAATATTACTTTCATTCAACACCATAATCAAATATACCAAAAATTTCTACAGAATCTATCCAGTGATTAGGTGATCGATAAAATAATGGTAAGAATAGCGGTTAAAAACTTAAAAGGACAGAACGTATTCCACAACAATTCATAGCCTGGAGCATATACTTCCAGAATGGGTCAGATTTAAAAAATCGATGAATCAAACATTACTGTTAATATTACTCAATGTATCATGAAGTGAAACAACGCGAGAGGAAAATTAATAAAAGTCATATCACTGAACTAAAAAGTTTACATAGAATGAAATAATAAATAAAATTTCGAAAGAATAAGAAATAAACTAACATATGTGAGAAATTTCCTGGAATGAATGTATTCCACGATCGATATGCTCTATTTCTGTACTTGCTTCATCTCGACTTCGATCTGCCTTACTTATTATCGGCATTCTGTCGTATTCGAAACTCGCAAAAATATGCAAAATTATAACAAAGCGATACAACTAACAATAAATTAAACATTTTCATCAACCAATAAATTAGCATGAATAAAATAAATTATAATAAAAGTATTAAAATACTGACTCATACATTTAGTACCATTACAAAAAGATGAAATTTGGTGATTCCCAATGATTTATTGTAAATTTCAACTCTCTAAACTAAAATTCCCCGTGATTTATTATTATAGGACATCTTCCATTTTAAATAAACCAAAGAAATAAATAACGTACATTACATTAAGATTTAACGAAATGCACGCAATGAAAGATCAATAAGTTGTATATTTTAGCATTAGGAATTTTATATATATATATAATACAAATTTTATGCCATTTATACAAATAATTAAATGACAGATATTGCTAATATAAAATGAATAAATGAAAATGTTGCTGAAATATTATCAAAATGAAAATATAAACGTATAAATGAAGTGTTAAAATCATAAAAGATTGGGTGGAAGATAACAAAATCGTAACGTATCAATGCGATAGAAACTAATTGGCATTATCACAACAACCAAGCAACAATATGAATTCGAGAAGCTAACATCTTTGGACTATAACGAAGCGACTGTTGGAGAGGAGAGAAGAGAGATGAAGAGAAGAAGAGAGAAGAGAAGGGATATATTCTTTAAGATGTTCATATTACAACAAAAACCATCCACAGTAGTAAAGTACCGTGGATAATAGATACTTTCATAATACTTTAATAGATATTTTTCATATTTGTGTGATAAATGAGATAATAGATACTTTCATACTTGTGAATTTGATACTTTTGAATGTTATGTAAAAATATATGAAAAATAACACGTTGTAAAGAGAACGTCTTCTTTGTTACCTATATTTAAAATAGCCTTCGTTACCTATATTTAAAATAACAGACTAAAGGGAATAAAGAAAAAAATGAAAGGTAAGGCGTATTTTACGTCTTCTTCGTTACCTATATTTTACCTAATGTTTAAACGTTTACTTATATGCTTATATAAGTAAAAGTTAAGCAAATGTCCACAAATTATTATTTAGGCTTCAATTATTTCATTTATAGTTGAATTTCATTTGAAAACGGAATTTTCACATTCCTAATGATAAAGTACAATTTCTCGAAAATTAATTATTAATCTATTAATGAATATTAGCAAACGAAAATAATGATTAGAGATTGATAAAAAATGAAAGAACAGTAGTTATAGATAACCGATAGCTTACTCCCAATTAACTATTCTTGTTATTAATCCCTTATATTAATTCTACTTTACCAGTCCTTTCAACTTTAATTATCGTTTTTCTATCTTATTTTTCTCAAGAATACACTTATTTCATTTATCTTTATTGTACTGCTCTAAAGATAAATAATGCATCTAATATTTTTTCCTCTTTTCATCTATAACTACTGTTCTTTCGATTTTTATCAATCTCTAATCATTTCCAACACAAACTATTTCTTCTCGGCATAACTTCTCATTATCACTCGTCTTAATTTTACCAGCAAGGAAATAATTTCCTCTATAAAATAAAGATCCAAAATTAACAATTTCATTTCTTAACCACCGAAAAGCGGAAAAGGTGTCTAAATTTGAGATTTGGTAAATATGAGGGTTGTCCGTTCTACACGTTCCGATAGGGGACTGCTTGAATGGTTTCATTTAATAAACATTTGGTTTTACATGCTTTATGATGATGTATGTTTCACGTTATCTAGCGATTGTGCAAATTTCATCCTAACGGTTACTGTTTCACGCAACCTAACTTGGTGAAATACTTATTCGTGCCGTAACATATATTATAATTGGAGCATATTTTTCATTCAATTTAAGAAAATCGCATACAAACGCGAATTTGCATAGAATTTACCGTAATTCATTTCACGTCAATAAAATATGAGTAACAGTCTCATAATGAGACATGTATTCTTCAAAGTTACTTGGAATTTCATTATTGCTTACGATGTATTTGTTGTGTAAATGGTGACAAAGTATTATTTTACTTCTTTAATTTAGCCAAGATGTCAGTTTATGATCCTACAAATTCCGCAAGTGTGGATCATCGGCGAAAATGGGATCGGGAGGAATATGAGCGAAAAGCACAAGAACGATTGTTGACAGAAAAGGATGAAGAAATAAGAGGAAAGCGTAAGCTGCCAAGATTCCCAGACGAACCGAAAGTAAAACGAGAATTACTGAAAGCTCGAGAATATAAGGCAAGAATTAAGTGTGTTAACTTTTAGTTTGAATCCTTTCAAATAAGAAGGCACTCACTGGCAAGGTTATTTTGATTATCTAGCTTATATACAATTATATATTGCTTGTTGCAATTAATTTTTTGTACTAAACTGAATTTTTGATAGAATTTTTTGTTCATATTTTTGTTTAAGGTTGATTTGGAATCAAAAGTTGGTCGCACGGTAGTTATCAACAAAACAACACCATCAGCTGAAACTGGTGGGTACTATTGTGATGTTTGCGATTGTGTCGTTAAAGATTCTATCAATTTTCTGGATCATATTAACGGAAAGAATCATCAACGTAATATGGGGATGAGTATGAAGATAAAACGAAGCACTCTAGATGAAGTACGCCAACGATTTGCTTTTAAAAAAGCTCAAAGTAAGGACCTCCTGCAGATGTAATTGATATATCGTGTTTAGCAATTAGCATATTATGTTTTTCAAAACTGTGGAACTGCAAAAATCAAAATTTAATGGTACCAATCAATATAATTTAAGATTGGATATTTAAGAGTTGATAGAATTCTTGTTTGAATTTCAGAAGAAATGCAAAAAAAGGAAGATGATATGCATGACAGACTGGATGATTTAAAAGAAGAAGAGGTATGTGAGTTTCACCCACATTTGTTCAAAAATATCGGTTTTTTATGGTCTGTGAAAAAGATGCTCCTGGTGAATGTAAGGTAGTGAGCATTTTAATAGTGAGCATTTAATGGTTTCACGAGTTACCAGCTTCACATTGCACTTTTAGGCACGTATGGCTGATTATAAGAAATCCAAGCGCTTGGAACAGAAAAAACGGAAATATCCCGAGGTACAAGTTGATGAAGAAATTGCTGCAGCTATGGGATTTGGTGGATTTGGTACGACTAAAAAGTAATGAAGTCGGATTTTTCCGATTTTGTTTTTGTCAGTGTATATAAATTGAATTACCTTTCTGATATCATAATCGATAGTCGTTTGATTTTCAAGTAAAATCAAAGGACTGGTCTTTCGAATGATAAGGTGGGGAGAAGTAAATCAACTTTAAATCTTATTTTCAAGGATGTCATTTATATGAGCATAATTTCGATAAAGATTTGAATTATATTACGAAACGGTGTAACTTTCCTACGTCAAGCTGTCAAATTTACGAATTATTGTAGAAGTGAGCAGTATATATTTATTGATGCTAAATCATTTGGATTATGATTGTATTGCTTTTTTTTAATAGAATGAATAAAGTGGTTAAAATCACACTGTTGTACTTACGTTTACTGTTTTTTCGTCTTCAATAAATTAATAATATTTTGCGTTTTGCTGTTTCTAAGGTGGTATTATTAACTTTTTACAGCTGCAAGTTTAGTTTTAGATTTGAAACGAAGTGAAGCGGTAAGGTTTTTGTAAAATCTAACAATGCAAGATTCAGTGTATGTCAATTTCGTCCAGATCATGTTTTGCAGGACAAGTGCATCAGTTTCATAAATGAACTTCGGCGTCTCAACTATACAGTCAGTAGTATTTCTTGCAGTCCTGGGAATGACCTACAGCCAGAAAGGAGTATATCTGGATGAAAAAGTTAAAAACCTACAGGTAGATTTCTTTCATTTATTTTAAGATTAAGAAAAAAATACTTAGAAAATCAAATAATTATTGATTCACGTATTGCAGGAGTGGATGTACAGAAGGCCACTAATCAATTTGAATGCAGACCGGTGGAAAACGTATGTACGAAGTGCGCCACGCAATTATTCTATGATTGTGATGTTTACGGCGCTTTCTCCAAATGTTAACTGTGCAATATGCAAGTGAGGTTTTCATTTTTGGAATGGTTAAAAATTTTCTATTTATTGTTCTGGAAGAATGTTTTGAAATGTTATTGGATACATTTATTCCATATTTCCGACGTTATCTGCTATCACCAAATAATCTTTATCATTTCAGATCCTCATATGATGAATTTTATATACTGGCTAATTCGTACCGTTATGCATATTCGGAACTGAAAGCTCTTTACTTTGCAATTATTGATTATGATGAATCTCCAGAAGTCTTTCAGCAAATGAATCTAAATGTTGCACCAGTACTTTTTCATTTCCCATCAAAGGGTACAAAGAAAAGGAATGATCAAATGGATTTTGAACGGCAAGGTTTTAGTGCCGATAGCATGGCGAAATTTGTTTTTGAACGAACAGATATACAAGTTTGTTTTCTAAGTTGCAATCTTATAGACATTTTTTTATCATTTTTTATTGAATATGACGAATTGCATATCCAAAAAACAGATTTCATTTTGGTTCTTTTTAATATATGGTATGCTTCTTTTCTGTTTTTGGAAAAATAATCAGAAAGACTAATCAGAACTTGTCTAATCATACTGCAATTCTATTACATTTTTGGTGAAATTTCTGCTGATATTAGAGGTTATAAAGGGAGAGAAAGATAATTGCAGTATGATTAGACATGTTTTCTGAAGGATGACAATATTAATTGTCTTTAAAATAAAAAATACAAAATTTTATAACTCATGATTCATTATTTTTAGATTCGCATTCTTCGTCCACCAAACTATGCAGCACCAGCAGTTGTTTTGTTATTGGCAATGCTCGTATTAGGGTTATTGTATATGCGCAGAAATAATCTCGATTTCTTATACAATCGTACAAGTTGGGCATTAATTTGTCTTTGTGTCGTATTTGCGTTTATGAGCGGACAGATGTGGAATCATATTCATGGTCCTCCATTTGTTATGACTAGGTCGCACAGTCGTGAAACAAGTTTTATTCATGGTTCTACTCAGTATCAGGTAGCTTCCTTTGTAGTTTTGGATTTAAATTATTCCTGGAAAAATAATTGGAAAAATCATCTCTAATCCCTAATCTTTCGGTAGAATTTCTAGTATTAAAGGGCAAAAAGAGAGGAAAGGAGTGGGATAAGAGACTATATCATACAGCTAGGTTAATGGATAAAAAAGAGAAAGGTAGAACTTACATTTAGGATCTTTATGTCCAATTACTTGTTCCTTGTATTCTATGACTGTCCTCGTTGTTCAGTTTGCAATTGTTGCAATTACTTACAATTACTAAATTATTATAAAACTACAGCTCGTGGCAGAAACATATTTGGTGGCGGTATTATATGCTGCGATAACGGCTGGTTTCATCTTAATGAATGATGCGGCAGATGGTAAAGGCGATTCTGGACGACGGCGGAGTAAGTCACTAATTCAAAGTATTTGAAAATTTAGAGGAAAACCTAATTTTTTTCAGATTCATTAAATTAGTTCATATTAAAGTTATTGTGACAATTTTCAGTTATTGCATTGGTTGGTCTCGGATTGGTGGTTGTATTCTTTAGCTTATTGCTTTCGATATTTCGGAGTAAATATCAGGGGTATCCGTATAGCTTCCTATTTCATTAATAAAACGACTTTCTGTGTCGACAATTTATTTTTTGGGTCATCATAACAAAAATGCCCGATTTGTTGTTATGTAAATAAAAGGGTTTGCTGCTAATTTGCCAACCCTTATTAGTTTGCACTTGGTAAATAATATTTAGTTGTATTAAATGGACCTCTTAAATCTATTGTTAAATTGCTTCTTCACTGTTACATTTGTGTTATTTCTTTGCATTTTCTCATCAGGTAAATACTATTACCGTAGGCATAAATAACAGTGTATCCAAATACCATGTTCTGCAAATAACGACTGCCTTAGAACATACATTCTTTCCACATCAAAAACAAGTTGTACAGATAATAGTCATTATTGCAATCGAATTTTGTAATAAAATTTTCATTTGCGATACTTATAAGACTGTACAACTAGCCATACATTTTTAGAGCTTCGTGGAAAGTGTAAGTCATATAGAGAAGTGCCTTCTCGTACCGATAACTCATTTCCTGGATATCTCCTGACAGATTTCAGATTTGCGAGCAGCGTTGTTTTAACATTCAGTAACACATAACGCATTTTTTTTAAGATGCATAACGCATTTTTTCGGTCCTTAGATGTAACGATGGGAATCACTGCCGTAAAATGTAAAAAGCAGTAACTCTTCATTCCTTTTATGATTCTCAGGATCTTCCGTGGAGTTTTAATATCAACTTTAGTATTGTTCATAAATGCATGATATCCAAAATATCGCATCCAGTAATAAACATACAAATTACACACATTTTTACTTTTTAATCCAGAGGCTAGAACAATAGCAAGATTTATATATAAGTTGAAAAGCGATCCAATGCAAAAAGCTAAAGTTACGATCACTATTCAACGAAATGTTCTGAAGCTCAACTTTAATTCGATAACAATTCCATCACTGATGTCATAACTCCTTATTCAATTTTCTTGAATTTGGCAGCATATTGAACTAAAAAAATTAGCTTCTACCAGTTGTATTATCTCGTCTATTGCAATATCATGAGCTCGAAAACATTAAAGCATTAAGATAAGCTGGATAAGATTAAGGTTCTAGTTAGTCAATGTATTTTTCTAATTAGGGATTAGTTGTTACGCATATAATCAAGAAACATGGACCGTAATAATTTTTAATACAACCGCGATAAAGAGAAATTTTTGATGCAAGGAAAAATTTGACTAGAATCCACTATTCGAGAAGCCGTATTTGAACAAATGATAGTGAAGAATTTCAAGATTTAACTCCTCCTGGAAGAGCATCTTCTAACATTCTCCTAATAACTTTATCACTGACGATATCCAACGCACAGTTCCCTTCAAAATCAGCCACTGCTGGATCAGCACCATTCTTGAGCAAAAAACCGACTACAGATCGATGGGAACATGAAACGGCTGCAATAGTTCAATAGCTTAGTAGTATTTGAAAATTCTAACTATTAAATAGGTATCGCAAACACTTTTTCGTAACTTATGAAGAATATTATCCAGTTCACTAAACACCTCTATATTATGACTCCTGAAGGACAATTATCTGCGAGATCAAGATGTACATGTGAAGTTGTTGTTGTTAACGAAACTTGTTAAATATATCCTCTACTTTCTTATCCGTAGCATAATCGAAATCCCAATTCTCTCCTAATAAGACTTGATTAACTAGGGGTATTTTGCACATTTTTTACTAATAAAGCAATAACCATAATGGAGAGGCGTTTGTCCACCATAATCTTGAATATTAACATTAGCCCCAGCATCAACGAGAAACTTAACAAGTTCCAATTTTCCACGGTCAGAAGCCCAGTGCAATGCAGTTAACTGAAACAGTCATTCAAATAAAGTTACAAAAATTGATTCACCTTATTGTTTAAATATTATGAGCATAGAAAATGGTATAGCACACCAAAAAAATCAGCCATATAAAAAGTCCAGGTCCATTCAATGCGATTACTTTGCATGACTTGCCATGACAAAATCTATTTCTTCTGCCCATGTCTATTACGTCACGGAAAGAGTGAAGAGGTACAGAAGAAAAAGGCGATAAAGTTGGCTTAAGTAATGAAGTCAGAGAAATCAAGTATAATAGACAATTTTGTTTTTACCCAAATGTGTAAACATAGTTACTTGATTCTCATTCCTTTCCTCCAGAAGCTCTAGATTGCCAGCTAGAAGATTTCTTAGTTTCTCGACATTGCCTTCATCTAACGCAGCAAACCATTCAATCTGCTCCAAACTCATGTCAGATGATTCTGTCTGCAAAAGAGCAAAAAAGTATAACATTAAGAGAGTGAGATTTCAATTTGTTTAAAATTCACTTTTAAAACTGACAAATGTGATATCATGGATTGAACTTTCAAATATTTTGATTCTTTAGTGCAAAATCTTAGCTATTCCTAGCGCTACTATGGTTTCCATCATTTTGAATGTAACAAGTTGTGAATTTTCCAGTTTTCTATTTATTAGTTCGCATTATTTGTTTTATCCTTATTTTCTTATTTATTACTCAGTTTTTGAACTCGATTTCATTGTGAATTTTAAATTTTTTGAAACATTCAATTAGCTGTGACATTATGCCTCTATAATTTATTATTTCTTTCATATGGAACCTCAGGTCATACGAATGAATTACAGTTCATGTCTTTTCCCATGTCAAATCAAGTTAGAAAATTTTACTTGATTTAACACGGGAAATTGAAAGCCACTAAATAAATTTCTAAATAAAACGAATGCTTCCAAAAAATTTAAAATTCACAATGAAATCGAGTTGAAAAACTAAGTAATAAATGAGAAGGTAAACATAAAGCAAATAATGCGAACTAATAAATAGAAAACTGGAAAATTCACAACTTGTTTTCACTCAAAATGATGGAAACCATAGTGGCGCTAAAAACGAAGATTTTTCGCTAAAAATGATAGAATCTCCTTTCATAGGACTATAATATCTGAAGAATCAAAATATTTGAAAGTTTGATAATCCATGAGAAGGTTAGCTAATATGGATTCTAGCATTATTACCACGATCACAAGATGAAAACAATCTCCTTTCATAGGACTATAATATCTCTACTCATATATCGAAGTTTATGTTAAATCTAAGCAACCTTACTTCAGTAGATTTAGCATCCGCTAATGTACTCGGTCTAACTCCATAACGAATACGATAGATTTGGCTTGCGTCCCAACCAAGGTCGAGTTCAATAAGCCTCGCAACATACTGTCTCATAGCTTCCGCTGTTGACATATCGCTCAATGCTAACCAGGCATCGAATTTTTCACGACTAATAATATCGTATATTTTGGGCCTCCTACTGGCATCTGTTATGATTGCATTAAAATAAACACATAATAAAATTATATAACGTCAAGTAATAATATTTATCATAAGTTGGGAAGCTCCAAAACTCCACCAGAAATCAATAACGAAAAAAAACTCCACTAAATAAATATGTGTAATCTTGTGCTACATAGGACTAGTTCGAAACATATAAATGCTAGCCCGATAAGAAACTGACCAGCTTTTCCGTATGTAACAAGCTTATATCGAGCATAAAAATATAACCGGTCTTCACGTGAAATTAGGCCCTCACTAAGTGCAATGGGTAAGTAAGTGCAAGCAGAAGCGAATTCTGTTGCAAGTCTTTCACTGATTTTTTCATCTGGTTGTTGTTCTCCCTCTTCACTGGTAGAACTACCGGATGTCCACTTCAACAATTGATAAATAAACATCCTGCAAATATCTATTATGACAACCACTCCGAAAAGAATACTCTCCGGATCAAAAAAAGTAATACAGCACCTCACTTCACGAAATATTTACACGTTTTAACCCTAACTTCAAGCAATCACCTACTCTATGTAACCTTATTTAGAAATTGAAAATCATCAGCCAATGCATCAATTCCCGGATTACATGCACCTCTACATTTGACATGTTCGAACAATAGCTTTTAACAGTAGTTCCCAAGGCTTGAAATACTAATCACTAAACCATTAGCTTGAAATCGGGCTTTTAATAACTAAAAGTGAAAAATAATATTAAAAAATTGAACACTCGAGAAATAGACGAGTCAATTCATAAATAAAAATGTGTCAATATCCTTCATACAAATCATCAAAACACTGTCAAACATAATTATAATTTAAATAATTAAAAGTTATATTTAGATAACAATAACAACAAAATTAAACCAAACCAACATCTCCTCAGCGACAATAATATCTCTTCAGTAACATGACAATGATGTTTTTATATCTCATTAATCAGTAATTTTTGATTATACACTTCTTTTCCCTAAACACTCAATTCTCGTATCATAGATGAAGCCATTAAGCTGATATTAGAAGACCCGTAAAAGGCTTTCAACTGGAAGAGACCATCGGTGCCAATGATCGATTCCTTCAGTATACTCTGAAATAAAATAACAAAATTGCTATCACAAATCACTCAGAAAAACACGACAATTACGCTCTAATTTAAAATTATGCCGAACTCACGTCCTTCACCTTTCGCTTTCATCCATTGCATTCCACTTTTCAGGTGTATAAGTTTTGATTTCAAGCGCGTGTATTGCTTGCATTTCTTCTTTTAAAACATCATAAACCAATCTATAACTGTTGTAAAATCTATATTACATCAAATATTAAATTAGATTCAATAAGAAGTCCCATTGTCTTGGTGAAGTGGCAAACTGATACAGAAATTTCCGGCAAAATAATAATTTATATGATATCACTATATAAGCACCCGTCAAAATTTTAACTCGATGGTCATATTCTCCACAATAATTCAAAAAACAATCAATCACGCAACAACTTAATCTCCGATCATTAAAAAAATTCAACAATATCAAATGTTCATTAATTACCGATGCGATGCTAAGGTCGTTTTGTTGTCAAAGCTATCGGAAACAATAACCAGACGAAATTTCAATCCGCATCCATCGCTGAAATCTTCGATACTCTGAAAAAGAACTTATGAATTCCTTCTAGCAATCTTCATTTTTCATTTACCTCATGGGATGAAGAAAAAAGTGAACTATTCCGAAACTTTATCATCTTTCAATTAGTATTTTGTTATGAACCCTTAATTAATCTTAATATCACTCGAGTATTAACGTGTAAAAGAAAAATTAAGCTCAATATCAACCTATTTACGAGTATTGCTTATATTGAGCTCGATGAGAAATCATGAAACATCCATTGCCTCACCATAGCTCAAAAATTTCACCAATATTTCAAAATGTACTTTTGCAGGTAACAGTACATGCAAATTTAAGTTCAACACTCCATGACTAACAGTGTATTCAAAATTTAAATTCTACACTCCACGAAATTCCACTAATTAGTGTAACCTACCAAATGAGATGGCTTTAATGCGATTTCCAGTTTTTTTTGTAATGTTGCATTCATGTTATTAATCACTTTGAACAACTGCAAAATAGATCGATTATGAATATGACGGTAAATTTTAAAATTGACGTAAGCTTATCATACTTTCTTTTCTCAAAAATTATTTATGCCTTTTGTACCTGCCATTTTTTTCATTTCATATAATATATGTATATATAAACAAACACATCAATGAATATTAAGCACAAACTATAGAGCATTTTTCATAACTTTTTTATATGCTTTAAATAGATCAATGATAGGGATGAATGAAGTAATATTCGACCACAACAATTCGTATTGAACGCAATCTGTTTATGGCAAATTACACAGATATCCTTTCAGCATATAATAAATAATTGAATTCTTGGAAATGGCAAAATCAACCGCTTGTCTGTTTATCCTGTAACTGCGATTTGAATTTCAAGCCATGGCGAAGCCACTGGACACATTCTTATTGATTAGAACAAGAATTGAGATGAGTATTCTCATCCTACAGCTCATACTTTGGAACTCCGCGAATTCTTGGAAAACATTTTTTTCATTCTAATGGCTCTAGAAGAAAAGTTTTTGTGTGGTAACACTTAGTTAATGAAAAGGTCAAATAAATGTGACAGCTGTGGCAGAATTTGTTAACCAATGTATAAGTTTAATTATAAAAGGGATTTTTGACAAACACCGTATGACGGATATCACACTTGTCTTTAATGCTATGCTATCATCTGCTTTCGAAAATATTCAAATGCACCCGTTTGCTTTGCGACTCAATTTAAACTCGAATAGAAAATTAGCTTAAAATTGTTCTTAGTCTAACATTATCTCCTTATTCCATGCTAAATATAAATGAAGCAGCAAACAATAAGTTCTTGCAAGAAAAAAGAAACTTAAAGCAATAAACGAATATTAAAATGATATATAATATGGAAACATTTATTCAACAATACAGAGAAAACGCAATTATTTCTGCATTAACCTGATAAGTAATCCATTAATTTAAAGATAATAATGAAAATATTTTAAGTTAAAAAATTACTTTTCAAATTATTGACCTATTATCATCACTATAATCGTATAACAATTACATCCAACATTACTTGAATGTACATCTTATCATCTTATCAAATCTTAATATTGACAATTACAAAACAAAATTAACAAAGCGCAATTATTCATATATTTAATTACCTCTCATAGTGAACTAAGATCAAATCAAAAAGTGTCATGTTTTTTGATAAAGACAGTAACAATAAAGATAAAAGAAGTGATGAGTTATGAGGAGAAACAAACATAGAAGTATGGAAATGGATGGATGTGAAAGAAAAAGAGAAAAAATAAAAGAGAAAAGGGAGAAGAAAAAAGCGAAAAATCCCTCATATATAAATAATGCATTCTTGTCTTCTCCAAACCCAATGAGAATCATTATCACATCAACTGATTGTTCCATTTCAACTTATTTAGAAACTTAGAATTTGCTATATCGGTGATAATGTTTGGTTCCTTTCTTTTCTAATTGTTCAAACTTATTGGTAGACTAATAGTTGTGACAATTTTGCTGTCATAGAAAAGAAAAAAAGAAAAGTCATCAATGATTTTTCTTTCTATCAACAAATAAGTTAGCTAATGAATGAATGTTCGATAGTTCCAAATAAATTAGGAATATTTGAAGTAAACTAAACTTTCTTCCATATTAAAGCTTATCACTATGAGCACCACCAATAATTGCAAGCAATTTTAATTAGAAAATGAAAAGACGAATTACAATAACCTCAGTAGTCTGGTTAAATCAGAATGAATCTAATATATGAAGTTCCGTTAATTATTTTTATAAAGTGATAGAGATGAAATTTCAAAAGATATTTTATTTCAAACATTTCCTTGAAATTATGAAAAGCAGTCCTATTTCTTGCCTTTTATTTCTCTTCTTTCCTCTCTTTTTCCATAAGTCCATTTCTCATTTCTGATCACAGAATCAAATGTTATTAAAGGTAATCATCTCTAGCTATGAGATTATTGCACGTTTTTTTTTTGATGGATAAAATTTGAATCGGAAAGTTTAAATTTTTACTCGTAATTTTTGGAAGAATCAGTAATCAAATGACTTATATTAGTAGGTAAACGACTAATTCAAAGGTATCCCACCATAAACGAGAAATATACTACAGTTTAATATTTGAGAAATTGAAATCTTTGTTATATATGTGTGTATCGAAAAAAATTAAGAAAAACAGGCCAAATATGAAAGTAAAAAAGAAAAAACATCATCAGGGCTATAAAACGATTTCTCATCTGTATTTGAAAAAAAGTAGTTGCGGGATTGAAAAAATGGTAGGAATGTCATGTTTTTAACGTATATGTGGTCCATAAGTATGTTCACACCAATTAATTTGGTACCTTCTAATGGGTTAATATAAGTCATTTAGTTACCGGTTTTTCCAAAATTACGAGTAAAAGTTCAAACTTTCCATTAAATTTTATTCACCAAAAAAATGCGCAATAACTCACAACTAAAGGTGAGTACCTGCGAATCATGGAACTGTAATATGTCCGCAATAGTGTGGTTTCGTGACCAGAAATGAGAAACATAAATACTTGTAGAAAAACAGCTGCGAGGAAAAGAAAAATTAAACAAAGAAAGAAAAAAGGCAAAAAAACCGCTTTTCATAATCTGAAACCCTGAAAATCTGAAAGAAAACAATTGAAAGAAATGTTTGAAATGAAATCCTTTTGAAACTTCATTCCTATTATTTCAAGAAATTATATATTATGAAAGGATATGATGTTGCTAAAACAATAGCAATTCTTCTGAGCCAGAAATTAAGGGAAAAATACCGATGAAATTGATGGAGCAATAAAAAGAGGAAATCCAAAATTTACGAGCAAAACTTCCAGTGGTAATATGAGCAGCGCATTTCAGCAGATTATTAATTAAAACAATGACAAAATTGAAAGTTAATTAAACTGAATCATAGGAAAAAGGATGAAAAGGTAATTAAGAGAACTCAGTTTCACGTTTTTTTCGCCATAACTTTACTATTTTTATCCCTCATGAAATCCTAAAGAAGAAATGTAAATTATAAATCCTACCCAACAATCTTTATTTGAAGCCCCCGCAAAGCCTTATACTTTTCAGAGTGGATGAATAACAAAATTCTAATTTAACAAAAACCTTAATAATACTATAAATGACGAAAAACCATGAAAATAAGTTAATAGATATGGATTACGTATAAAAATATGAAAATATTTTTCAAAGAACAAGAAATACAAATATAGACAGCCAATACTGCTGTCTTATGTCAAGTAGCGAGCGTACACTTTTACAAATGTAATAAATAGCAAATTCAATAATCTAAAATAAGCTATTCCTTTACTCCAAAGATACGTGCTTGACGTTTTCTTGTTTCTTCTTCTTCAATTTTCTTCAATCTTTCCAATTCTTCTGGGTCAGTAGTGCGTGGTTTCAAGTTTAAATGAGGCCTACCAGGTGCTGAAATGAAGTGAGTCATTTAAACCTCTTAAGGATGAAATAATATTAAGCTTAATGAACACAAAGAAAAAAATATATTACAAATTAAGCTAACCACTAGAATGTGCAGCGAGCTCGACATTTTGACTTCTACCGCGGCTAATGCTACCTCTATCTGACCCATCATAATCCATATTGCCAAAATTATCATTCCTACTATTAGGCCGTTCGCCAGATCGGCTAGTCCCACCGCCACGTCTGCTATCGCCTTTAATAAAATAAATTCAATTTCAAGTCACATTTAAATGCGCTTAAAAACAAAATGCGAATAATTTTATAATTATAAAATGATTATGTTAAAAAACCTCTGAAAGGTGGTCCACCACCACGTGAACTACCGCCACGCCCACCAAAATTACCACGGCCGCCACCCCTACGCTCTCTTCCACGTGGCGCATCTGCTACGTCCACACGTAACACTCGTCCGTCGTATTCCTTTGAAATATGTGAGAAAAGATAATTAATTTAGTAGATGATATAAATAAAACTAGTTTAATGAGTAACAATTTTAATACAGTACTGGTTTATTTTTATTAATACATGTTTTGCTATCTTGGTTCTGATTTGAAATGCAAAAATTTTATTTAAACTTGGCAAGAACAAAAACGACAACAGTAATAAAATTCTATTATACTTTTAATTACTTTTATTATACTTACTACACCGTTCAAAGCAAGAGCTCTTTCCAAATCCTCTCGAGTTCGAAATTCAATGTAAGCAAAACCCTTGAAACGGTCATTCTCATAGTCACGCATCATTTTTGCCTCAATAACCTGAAAATTAAGAAACAATTTAAATAATATGCAACAAGACAGTGTACTGGTTGCAATTATTCTGGTCACATTATTTATTCTTCATTAATTTCCAAAAAAAAAAAAAATGGTACATGGATGAAACATACCGCATAATCTGCAAAAAGTGAATCCAAGTCACCAGGAACCAAATCAAGCGGTAAATTCCCAACATATGCTTTAAATGGTGCCTCATCTGGTATAGGTCTATGTTGCCGCCTATAATAGTTTTGCTGTTCCTTCTTTTTTCAGTTTTAATAAACAAATAGTTCATTCCGGTTGTAAAATCAAAGTTTAATTAATAAAAAAGAAACTGTTAAGGAAAAACTGCTCACCGTCCAGTCATCATTTGTAACTACGGGAAGAAATTCGATAATCTGAAAAATTTCAATCAAACTTAAAACTCGAAAGTAAAGTAATGATGTAATATTGTTCAAAATGAGCTCATATCGAATGTCATATGATAATGATTTTAAATAAGATTACTCCTTATTTTGATACATAATCAAACATTGGCTTATAAGTTAGCGCCATGAGATCCTCAAGACAGATAGCTTATATGATCAGCGTTCATCCATGTGAGCTAGTTCGTCCGATGATTATCACGTTAAAAATTAGCGAATTATTGCAACTGTTACAAGAAGGACAATTATCATTATCATCTCTGAAGACCTAGAAATTAAACTGTCTCTAAGCCATTCTCATCATAATTTTTAAATATCTCCCAGCACTTTCAACAAATACCACTCGTTACTCTTTCTGTCTAAATATTTATCTCTTTTTACAAACTAAAGAAAATGTTGAAAAGAATAATAAGTCCACCTTTCAATCTTCTCTCTTTTTCCTCGTATTTTTCCCACAGAATACTAACAAATACATACTCTCAATCTCTCTCATCATTACGAACAATGGTCATCTAATTTTTCTCTCAATATCATGCTGCACACTTTTCACTGGGCATTCATTACTTGTATCATTTATTTGCAATGAATTTTTTCTTTTTCCTCTTTACATTACTCTGATTTACCTAAATAATTCTGAATGAAATTGGAAATTATTCAGAAACCTATCACCACTCATATTAGCCCTTACTCCACATAACTGACGAGAAAAACTTACGTGAAGGAACACTTCACGCACGCATACCTTTCCACCTCCGCGTCTTCACACACACTAAAAACATCTCCAAGCCGTGAAATACCCAACGATTAGTATAAGTCACGTCTTGACAAAATCAAAGTCCGAGAGCTCCACTAGTTTCGACGAGTGTTAAAATGCGAATAGTTTCAACGGCTGTTAAAATGTGAATAGTTGAACCATATGCATTGGTATCCTACCGGGATGCCTAACGAGTACGATACCTAATGGTACTTTGTATGGTATTTCGCTGACGGATTTTTTCTTAACTTGAACATATTCTTCAAATCTCAAAGACGAAAGAAATAATTTCAAATCATGTGAAGCTCGTAGCTAATCATCCACTTGATGATTTGCTTGAAAATTACAATATAACAAAGAAGGTAGTGCTTATTCCCAACACCTGAAGTGATGATACCAACAAACCGAACCAAAACGTCAAAGTGCTATATCCTCATCACTGCACGATTTATAGGTTGCACTTTTTCACTTGAATGACGAAGGCTTTACCGTCTCTGTCATTATATATGCAGCTTTGTAAGCTACCGCTACAATGAGAAAACGTTGCATTATGATTTTCCTTTTTTTAAAGCTCCATTATATTGACAAATTTATTGCTATAATTACTGCAGTTACACAGTTTACACATCAACATATCGATTGATATCATGGTTTCTTCGCTAGATAGTAAAATTATGATGAGCGCGAAATGCTATCCTAAGCTGTCTGCGGATATCTGATGTCATATATTTGTCTTCGGGTATCACTTTTTCCGCAGTTTGAATTGAATCTTTTGATTCCTCTCCTATGTCGGATGTTTTTATTCTTTCTACTGTAGTTGTTTGTGTTGCTTCTTTTGATCCATACTGTACTTCTTCCTCTTCCATTCTTTTTGTTGTACTCTTACTAATTTCCAGTTCATTTGTTTCATCAGCATCATATTCAAATGAAGAATTATATGAGATGCTCGAGCTGAAACATATATAAATATGGATTTTTTCTTTCAAAATTAAAACTTCGAAAAAAAAAGAAGCAACATGAATGTTGGAGGCCATTCTGACAATTTGATTGGATGCTTGTATCAATTTTTTGACCCCAATTTCTGGGTCTTAGGCATCCTTCTTCTGGGATTTTCGAAAATTTCTTATTTGCATTCTCAATTTTAGTTGTTGATTCTTTCACTATTACTCTCTGGCCTTTTTTGAACACGCTTTTAGTTCTTTTAGATCGATTTGAAATCACTTACTCTCTTCGTTCATTGGCCAATTGATTAAATGCATCGATCGATGCATCGGAGAAAAGAATTTTACTACGATTTATATGTTGCTGTGATGTTTTACGAACTCGTCTCTGCTCACTATAGTAGCCATCACGTACGTAACTGAACATAAATGTTGTCAATGTTGACCTAAAATTATTTACTGCTGCTGTATATTACAAACTCTTCTTTTTCTTTTCAACTTATTACAACTCCTCTTTCCTCCAACTGAATCAATTTTATTACGGAATACATCCAGTATTTTTAAGCATCTGCTATATCTCTTTTACAAATTTTAGAAATTACAAGAAAAGATTTAAACAATGCTGAGAAAGCGCAAAAGAGAGAGAGAAAGAGGTTTGGGAAGAAAAAGAACAACTACTAATTAATGATGAAAAGTACAAAGAACAATACGAAAATAGCAAAGTTATTGAACTTTCAGTGTTAAATATGGCAATTGTTGTAAACAATTCGTATGAAAAATATAAATTTTACAAATTTCACACGAAGAGAATAGGGAATCTGTCAACAAAAGTGAAATTTTAATCGTTCAGTGAAAAAAGTATTTGTGTTGGATGTGGACTCCGTGGCGCAACGGTAGCGCGTCTGACTCCAGATCAGAAGGTTGCGTGTTCGAATCACGTCGGGGTCATTTGCATTTTGCTATTTGATTTTCGTTTTATTATGATGAAATATGAGTTTCAAATGGGAGGAAATCACTTATTTGTTTACTATTCAAGGAATTTTATAATCTAATGATAACAACGCATAATTCAAAACTGAAATATTTTCTACTGAAAATTATGCTATAATCGGATAGAATATATCATTTCTTTCCAGTTGATCATAAAATAGGATTAAAAATATCAAAAATATTTTAAAAAAGGACTCGCTTTTTATAAACGTGGCTTTTTAATTTCATTGATAATATAAATTTGAAATTTGGAAGTTTGATGAAATTTTCGAAATTAATTATTTAATGTGTAGAAAGCATGAGAATTTTGTGCATCGTTTTAGTTTCAATCATATCATTTCTATCTTTCTTTTTTTTAAACTAATTATTGTAAGCACAAAATTTAGTGACAAATGAATTTTATAGTAAAAAGTATGAAAAAATTATAATTTGTATTTTAAAACAAAGGGACATAAAACGAAATGATTAATTTAATACTTCTATAATTAATGGCTAAATAAGTCTCAAAAAAAATCAGTCAGTCAGTCAATCGATTAATCAATCAATTTTGTTTATTTTTTAAATTTTAAATCCGGTATTAATAATATCTTACCAAGCAAACAGAGCCTCAGATGCCGGATGCATAGCAGCATCTAACAATACACATTCGGTTGTAATCGCATCTGCCGTAACAGCAAAAAAATCCGGTCGAAAGCCAAAGGAACGATATTGTGCATGTTGTGCACCAAAATCTTCCGAAATTCGTTGTACCGCTGTTCGATCCGCAAGCCGATTTACAACATTTTTCAAATAACCACGTAACTCATTCGCTAACTCATACCGTTGCTCCTAAATTGTAAATTAATTATTTTGATTAATTAATTAATTAGAAAAAATTTAAAATCATTTCATTTAAACAAAGTTAATTGTAAGTGTAATTTGAATATAAATAGTAGGATGATATGTTTCTGCTTCCAATTCAATCAAAAATACATTTGGCTTCCTTTTATTACTTAACTATTTTACTTTAAAAATTGCCTTTAACAAATTTTCGGAAATGATCTTCTTGACCCCCTTAAATCATTCCTGAAAATGTTTTGAAAAAATTTCCGAAAATTATGTTTTTGCATTTTTATTTTTAATCACCTGAGAAAGTGCTTCGATAAATTTCCGGAAATCATCGCGTTTTTCTATAATTCGGCGATATATCTTTTCTGCAATATCATTCTTCGCTCTATCCATGCATCCTTTCACAAGTTGCCGTTGCGATAAAGCAAGCACAGAAATTTTTCTCCCTTGGCTGCTTACATTTAGGCTACAAAAAAAACCGAAATTCTACAAAGTTTTCCTGAACAAATTTTAGATTATTTCCAGATTTTCTTTTAAGAAAAATTTGCAACAAACTCATATTTTACTGCCCTATTCGAAATATTCATCAAATTATTGTCATTAAATTTCCAGCGATAATGATATTTAAGTAATTAATCAAATTTTGAAAAGAAATTAATTAATGGAATTGTTGCCAAATTTTAGATGAACAATAAATTTCAAATTTTACAGTGTTTTTCTTTGTTGGCTCTTAAAATTCGTTAGATACATAATATAAGCATATTTAATTATTTAGCATTTAAACTAGAATTAACGGTAGTGTTGACGAAATAACTTTATAATATAAAAATATTTACATAATCAAAGTATTGCTGTATTTCTGTAATTAATTTTATAGAAATCTTTTGTCTCAAATATTCTCAGTGAAAATGATTTGATATGTTTTGTTTCATATCATAATTCGTTAAACCTAAAATGACTTCCATGAAATAATCATCCCAGCAACTTTTTATTAGCACCATCAATTCCGTTTGCATAAACGATGATAGGCGTTTCTTTGTTCACCATTACTTTCACTCTATTTGCTATAAACTAAGTACCGCTAAACATCAAGTACCATCCAATTCAACAGGAGCCTATGATAATGTGACTTCTACTCCCAAATAATGCGGTCGAGTTATTTCTTTATGCTTTTTGATTATTGTCTTGCGACGTGAAGAAGAATGAACTCACTTTCCACCACCGACAATAAACCCTTCCAAAAAATTCTTATTCTCAGAGAAGTAAAGACTATGCAAATTAAAAACTTTCACTAATTGATATTATATAAAAAATTATATTATTATTATTATTTGCTGGACTATTAATTAACAATATGAGGATTTTTGGAAATAATCATTTAGATATTTTATTAAAGAAATTAATTATTTAGTATAAACATAGTTGCAAAGTTTCCATTTATATTTATTAGTCTTAAATTTACTATTATTCTATTTCAGTATGATGATAATGATAATTATAATAATTATTATTGATAATAATCAATAATTAACAGCTAGTAATTGTTAATAATGATTACAATTAATAATAATAAGTAATAGTTGATAAATAATAGTAATAATTAATAGCCAATAATGATAATAATAGTAATAAATAAAAACGCCGAAAAATTTTTTAGGTTGATATAAGAAATGATTAAAATAGATTACCTTGGATTTCTTCGAAGAACTGGTTGACTAGCTCTCCTAGTAAGTTGTGGTCGAGAACTGGAAGCTTCATTATGAGATAAAGCAAGCTTTGACCTCTCCTTTATATCTGTTCCAACCGATCCTATATTTCCCATTATCTACAATTTTATCAATAAGTTTTGATTAAAACATAAATTAATTCAATCTAAAATTATTGTTTTTTCTTTTTGTTGAAAGATAGAATAATATTTTAGGATAAGCAAAATATATTTCAAATTATTATTTTTCATACATTAATAATAATAATAAAGAATAGAAATAATAATAATAAAGCAATAATAGGAAATGAATAATCGATAAAGGAAATTATTCGCTTCAAAATTTTCACTCTATTACTAATTAAAAAATTAAGTATTATTTAGGAATTTTCACTCCCGGATACATATCTCAGTTTAACGGATTTTAAAATTATTTAAAAAGCATGAAATTGTAGGATGCTCAGTTCATGACTGAAGTTCATCATATCAATGGTAGAGGCGAAGACGCAGGAGTTATCTACAGTG